GTGTGTGTGTGTGTGTGTGTGTGTGTGTGTGTGTGTGTGTGTGTGTGTGTGTGTGTGTGTGTGAGTCTTTCATGCTTTGTCAGTGCTCTGATGTAAATGTGATTTTTCTCATGCTAATGTCTGATGAAAGCGTTTCTGTGTTTCTGATAAATGGCTTTACTCGCACACCTGCACACGTCTAATGGCATTCAGGTGTTCACGTCTCTATTCTCCCGCGCCGCTCTTTTGTTTCTGACCTGTAGCTCTGATTGATGAAGGTTAAACGGGTTTTTTCCTCTCTGAGCGTTACTGCGCCCAAAATAACCACAATCAAAGGTGTCGCCTCTTTCAGTCGAGTTATTATCGCACGACAACAAACGCATTTCAATGTGCTTCCGGTGCCATGTGTGTGTGTGTGTGGGTGTGTGAGCGCTGAATAATGAGCAGATATTGTGTGTGTGAATCAAACAATCCCTGAGATGACAGAATGCACGTAGAGTTTCAATTCTACACTCTTATCTGCTACTTTTGTAGGGAATTCACAAATACACAATTTTCCAGTCTTTTACATTCAAATATGTTGTTCAGTTCAGGCGTGAGCGATTATCTGCAGTAAAGAGCAAAGGTAACACTTTACAATACGGTGGCACTAATATGCATTAATTCATGCTTAACTAATGCACAGATAATTATATAAATAAGTAATTAATATTAAATTGTGGAAATGATAAAAATATACATTTTACAATCAAAATGTTTTTTTTTTAAATCCTTAAAATTTTCAGACACAAATGCCAATGCTTCCAGATGCATCTGCTGATGTGAAACACAAAACCCTTGTGCATGTTCGTCTCCGTCATGCATCATGCAGAAACACTCCTAACATCAAACATTTCTACGTGAGAGACACGAGAGAGAGAAGTCAGGTCAGGAACGGCGCTGAGAGGGTCGAAGCGAGCCATTTCTCCGAGAGAGCGATCGCTCAAAAGCATCTGTTCATCTGCAGAAACGCAGCCGCTTTAATGAGAGTCTCTGTTAAAGCTCCCAGGTGTCATTTCTGTGAGCAGCTAAAATAACCACACTTTTACAATTCCAATAGAAACCTGAGTCATGTTTGACAAATGCAAAACTTTCTGAGCTGAACCGTGACGAAAATGTCACTGATTTGGGCTAAAAAGTTACGGTTCCATATACAGTCAAACCGAAATGTATTCAGACAGCTTCAACATTTCTCACATTATATCAGTTTATTGGCTATAGTTTAGAAAACGGTACTAAAATATGAGAAGAGCTCAGAGTTAAACTGTGTCAGAACAAACTCATCTTGATAATGTCAGATAACTTTGATAGAAAGGTATGTAATGAATTCTGTTGAATAGCTGTCAGCTGTTAAATTTAAGAACACAATTAGATAAAACCAATTAATTACCAAGCAGTGCTTCATTCTGTTCAGTCTGTGGTGTAAAAAGATCACATTAGCAATTAAAGAATAACACTGAAGCAAAACATGCTCAGCTCAAAGTGTCTGAATCATTTTTGGTCCGGTAGTCCACTGTATGAAGAATTCTTGGGTGTAATTTGTCACAGTTTACTTTATTTTGCTATCCTCACTTACATAAATGAACTATAGTGTCCTGCACCCACTAGTAAACAAATATCAAAAATGATATCTGCTGTCTGAATAATTTTTGGTTTGACTGTAGATATGATGTAATGTCAGGATTTCTTTTCCTGGGCAACCTGAAATAAAACTGTCAATCACCGCAAGCGGCCAATTAATTAAAGAGAGGAGGAGTGGGCGGGGCTCACTTCAGAGGGAGGCGGGTGCTGTGGATTTGATTGACAGCTTGACATCAGAGCCATTAGCGGAATGGAAATGTGAGGTCAGGATGAAAGATAATGATATGCTGGTTTTTAGACGCGCCATTAAAGTTTCTATTGAGCGCACACACACTTATACTGAAGGAACGGCTTCGATTCTTGTCGATCCTGAACGCTTTTATGCATGATATACTGAGAGATACAGGAGCAGAGGTCGGATGTGATTGACGTGTGCCGTTGTTCAGAGAGAAGAGAGGACAGGAAAGCGCTGGATTCTGACATTTCTCACGGCACAGGAATCAGTCACAACTACACTCTTAAAAGTAAAGGTGCTTCACAATACCATAGAAGAACCTTTTTGTCTAAATGGTATTCAGAACGAACCTTTAACATCTGCAGAACCTTTCAGTTTCACAAAAGCTTCTTTGTGGCGAAAGAAGGTTCTTCAGATTATTAAGAATGGTAAGAAAGAGATGGTTCTTTGTGGAACCAAAAATGGTTCTTCTATAGCATCGCTGCGAAGAACCTTTGAAGCACCTTTAATTTTAAGAGTGTAACACCTCAGACGTGTGTAAGCCAATTCTGATTCAGATTTTTTTCAAGGACTACTGTTATGGTGTTTAATATTTTAAAACGTCCCCCTTTTTTATCTACAGTGCTTTAATTTAGTTTTTATTTCATTCTTATTATTATTTTAAAGTCTCCATCCCAAATCCCTTTCATTGTGTATAAAAGAGCTGATCCGTTCCATGCAATGAAAGGATGATCAAAAACAGATGTTTCACAAAAGAAAACAGGTTTGCAATGTCACAATCAGCATGTTTACAAGGACAACAATATTCCTATTTTAACACGCTTAAGACAATACTCAAAAAACAGAGATTTTTGATTGCATAATCCGGCTAAAGTCATACTCGAAGAAAACACAAATCGAATTAAGACATGTGGAGTATTCCTATTTTAGTCGCATTACTGAAGTGCAGAATAGACATGTACACACCTTAATCACATTATTACCGTCGTTTAGGACTTTTCGCTGCATTTTGCGACAGGATACACACACGGCAGTGCTCAACCGTTTGACGGCAAACAAAAGAGCATGGCTTTAATAACGCCGTCGTCTGTTTGCATGTATAGCATGACAAATAATTAACTGCACTTGAAGCTTTCGTAAAATTAAAAATGAAACACCCAAAACTGTATATGGCATCATACGAAGAAGAACTATACGTGAAATTTATAAGGGGATGTCGGATGGGGAAGTAACGACATGTGCCATTAATCGATCTATACACTATAATGTAAAACGGGAACATTAAAGGAATATTCTAAAAGCAGCTTATCTAAACACCTTAATCATAATATTGTCTTATTCAGAATAAGATCGCAGTATTCCTTCAAAAGCACTGTGCTTTTATTATGACATCCGCCCACAGTTGATTAGCATAAGCCCCGCCCCTTACCTGAGCTTGCCCTCTGATGGCACCTCATGGGGCGGATCCTCACATCGCAGCCGAGACTCCGCCTCCAACAGGTACACGGACACACACTCCTGCAAAACACCAGCGAGAACAACAGCTGAGAGTGCAGTCCGAGTCATTAGTCGTGATTAGACATGTGCAGGTAATCGGTAATGCGATATATCACGATAATGAATATGCACGATATTGTTATCATGGGCACTTCAAAATACCGTTTTTTTTTTTGTACAAATTATTAATTTTTTTTAATGCATTTTAAGAATACTTTTCCCATCAACTGGTCACAATGCACAACACCGCTGTATGCTGTGTCAAAGACGCATGTGCTGTCATGTAAACAAGCACGGATGAGAAGCGCATTCACTCTGACAGCAGATGGCGCTGATGGAACAGCAGAAATGCAGCCGTTACCCCGGAAACCCGTAAAAAAAAGCAGCTGCGCTACTTTCTGAAACGTATTTAAATGATTTAAACACTCATTCAGGTTTTTGTATTCGCTATGGTGTTTATCGCAGCTCTGAATACCGTATTGACCCGAATATAAGATGTTTTTTTCTTGGAAATACATCTGAAAAAACGCGGTCGTCTTATATTCAGGGTCTAGACTTTAACATGTCAATAATACACCCACAACCATAGCCGCGGGAACGTATTTTGGGCTGGGGGGGCTGACAAGAGTGATGCGAGAAGACTGACACTCTATGATGGCGGATCCAAAGCGCAACTTTTGTTAATAAAACTTTCATTTATTCGTTTAATAGCCTATAAGT